ATGAACTTCCACACTTTAAAACTCACCTCTAAATTTACAGAATTATTTGTGTTTGAGTCTGCTGAGGAAAAAAGGAAATGATTTAAACTTCAATGCCACTATTTTTAAACACAAGAGTAAAATAAGAACAAAAATTCTAACCTCTGGATTGGCAGTTGTTCCTCTTTTTCATCTTATACACTAAAAAAGTTGATAACACACTGATGATGGTGGTGAGTGTTAAAGCTGTGTTTAAGAAATACATCGGGGCAGGAGAATCTCGCCGCATTGTAAATCCTAGAAATGACAGAGCTTTTTAGCTTTTCATCCTGAGTTCATCAAATATGATCTGCTCCTATTTATAATACCATGTGAGTCACCTCTGCTGGAAAAGTGACTTACCCCCAAAGTCCAGCTTGGTCCCGTTTCCAAACAGTATGTGTCCACATGAGGCGACAGCACAGTAGTAGATCCCAGTGTGAGACACATTCAGGCTCTCCATTGTCAAGTTATAGACACAGGTGTGTGTGCTTTTGTTAGCTTTCCTCTCACAATGATCATTCCTGACTCCATGGGTGTAAATGAGTCCTGGTTGAGAATCTTCAGAGTCTTTGAACCAGTAAACACTGTGTTCTCCATCACAGCTCAGCATAGTGTGCACCATACAGTGCAGACTTACAGAGCCTCCTGGCTGGATGGTCTCAGATGCTGACTGATGAACTAAAGCTCGTACGTTTAAATCTGAATCATTGACACTGACAATAATGGTCTCTAAGAAGATTAATGTGTAGAAATAGGAAAATATACAGTAGTAAGTTGCTGAGTCTGAAACATTTATGTCTGAGATAATCAAGTGGTTTTTTCCTTTTTCATTATCTAGTCTGAAGCGTGCATTATTCTTGAATGGACCATGAAATTTTACTAAATAGTGTTCTGATATATAGAAGGTAGAAATGAGTTTTGGTTTCTCTCCTAAAGTTTGTTTATACCAGTAAAAACGTGCAGAAACACTGTGTTCATAGTAACAATGTAAAGTCACGCTGTCTCCAGATTTGGCTGATATAAAACGTGCTTCTTCATGAACAGAGGATAAATGCAGGTTGTTCTTCTGAGCTGTGGTGAAATGAAAGACAAAGCAAATACACATTGTGGAACATGGCAGCTGAGAAAAAAGAGCTCAAAAGAATTAGACTGTGGTTAAACACAAACTTACCAATTACACCCAAGAAGAAACACATCAGGTAGAAGACAATGTGTGCAGATGCCATTGTTCCAAACAGTCGTACTGAATAAAAGAACGGCGACTCTTCACTTTTAAGAGTGATGATTAGATTTCACTGGCCAATCAGAAGCTACACAGTACATGGAAAACTAGATCACATGATCACTGACATCTGTAGTGTTAAACTTAGTAGCTGAGATGATGTCAACTCACTAAATACCCTGTAGACAATGTGTTTGTGTGGGGCAGTGTGAGACACATAGTTAATAATTTTGAAATATTTCATATATATAAAAATGGTGAATTAACTACACAACCACACAAAATACCACACTATCTTTTTTAATGGTTTTCATGTTAAAAACATTGTAGGATTTTTTTGTTATCTTTTTGAATTTGTGTTTAGGATTTTCTGTCATTTGAAGTTGTGTCTCTTGTTTGTGTCAGGTTGAGTTTTGGATATCCATTTTTATTCCTTTGTTATTTAATTGTAACTTTCCATCCATCCATTCATTTTCATCCGTTTATCTTTGACTGGGTCGTGGGGGCAGAAGCCTAAGAAGAGAAACCCAGACCTCACTCTCCCCGGCCACCTCCTCCAGCCTGTCCCGGGAAATACCAAGGCGTTCTTAGCCTAGCCAAGAGACATAATATCTCAAGCATGTCCTGGTCTCCTCCCAGTGGGAGTTGCTGGGAACACCTCACCCATAAACCAATCATAAGTGAGGGTAGGGACATAGAACGACCAGTAAACTGAGCCACCATACCAATCCATCTGTCGATCTCCTGCTCCCTTCTCCCGGAATGCTGTCAAAGCTCTGTTGGATGATCTCTTGTGCAGAGGCTTCTGCCAGGCATTATACATTTCGGTGCACCAGGTCTGTCCAGCATCCTTCCCCGCCACCTGATTCAACTCACCACCAGTTGGTGATCAGTTGACAGCTCAGCACCTCTCTTGACCGTAATTATAACTAGAATATTATTAGGTCTTTCCTTTTCCTATATTTACTGTTTTCTAGCAATGTTGCCTAGGTTTTTTTTGTTATCTTGTGTTTGGGCAGTTTGCACTTTACCATCACGATCTCGTCCTTTAGTGCAACACAAATAAAAGTAAAGTTCATATCCATGCTGTACACTTTACCACAATTTTCCAGACAGACTAACAATTCCAAGAAATTGAAGTACTGAACGACATAATTTTAATGGAGTGGGTTTTTTTATTCATGGAAACCAGCTGCATCAAAGCCTTACATCATATATCTAAATGCACCGCGTCAGATGCAGTGGCGTAAGGCATGCCACCACTGGATGCCAGAGGAGTGGAGACGTCTTCTCTGCAGGGACAGATCACAGTTCTCCGTCGGACAATCTGATGGTAAAGTCTGGACTTCGCAGGTGTGAGGAGAACAGTACTCGCCTGACTGCCCTCTACCAAGTGTAAAGTTTAGTGGAGGGGGATTATGATGTGGGGTTGTTTTTCAGGATCTCAACACAGCCTCAGTGATAGAACTGTTAATGCTTCAGCACACCAAGACATGCTGGACAATTTCATGCTTCCAACTTTGTGAGAACAGTTTAGGATGGTGATCATTAATCACAGTACAGATAAATCAGAAGAATGTTTGCATCATGGGATTTGTACAGGTTTTAGTGGTTAATTTATCTGTCATAATAATTTATGCCATGTATACACAAAGTTCAAGGTTCAAGGTTCTTTATTTGTCAAATGCATAGTTATACAAGTATAACACACAGTGAAATGTAGCCTGACACGCTCCTCGACATGTGCAAAAAAATTTATATACATACATATATATATATATACACAGCAAATCCAGCATGTCCAAATTAACACTGTCGGATTTGATTTCAACACTATTAAAGTGTCTATATGGGTCCAC